ATATATACAAACTGCAGCTAATTGCTTTATATTTATTACAAACGGCACACTGTGGTTTAAAAAAAATGCCCAGTACACCTAAGCACTTCTTATGAGTTGCGAATGCGAAAGCATGAATATCCTTCTGGTGTACTGGCGTGGACGGCCACGTTTCGCTACTACCGTGGTTTTGGCCGGCCGCCGAGCGCGGGCTCTCGTTTTCCCGCTACATTTAGCGGGAAATTATTTCCGTTAAATTCAGCGGAAAAAATTGCCCGCTAATTTTAGCGGGAAAAATTCCCCGCTAAATTTAACGGAAGAAATGTTCCGCTAAATTTAGTTTAAAAAATTCCCGCTAAATTTAGCGGAAAGGATTTCGCGCTAAATTTAGCGAAAAAAATTCCCCGCTGACTTTACCGTTCAAAATTCCCCGCTAAACTTAGTGGAAAACAAATTCCCAATGAATTTAGCGGGAATGTTCCGCGCTAAATTAAATGATATGTGACAGATGAGGAGGAGAGACACACCCTCCCCTCCGTACCTTCCCCTCCTCCTCCTCAAGGGCTGCGCTCTAACTTGGTGTTACAGAGGATTGTAAACGCCTTTCATTTTTTTAATGCTTGTTTTCTTGCACACATTTATTATTTGTACGTAACATGAGCGAGTGTTAATTTTTACGAATCCACAGTTCAAAGTGCTATCTCCGCAGCTCAGTATGGACGTCTTCATGGCTTAGGAGATAGATCCAAGCACGCTCCGTGACATTCGAACGCTGAAATTGGCACCAGCCATTAGCTCTTTTCGGAAATGCACTGTACTGATAGGGTTCATATTTAGGTGTAACTTTTTGTGGAATTTCAGAAGAGGTTAAGAGTTCACGTACACAGCTTTGAGTGTCGCTTAAGCAGGGCAAGTGCATGGGTGCCAATATATTTGGCTTTATAGCAGGAAAAAGTTGAGTCAAGCTAACGGTGCTTCTTTTGACACTTAGTACGGCCAAGATCGGTTGCAGAAAACGACGGGAATTGACCTATTGGGAAGGAGGTCAGGTAGTCACGCCTCTAGCGGCCGGCTTCAGCTGTGGGGACAACAAACCGAATTTTCTTTTTTGTTTTTGATCAGGGAAATCGAAGATCACGATTCGAAGGCCGCTCCTCGTGCGACCAAAGCACTGGTCAGAGAGAAGCGCTCGTGCCCAGGCCATGCTAGGCGTGGTTAAAATTCGTCGTTATGCTCTGCTAGTAAACACCGGGCTGTGGGAAAAATAAGGTCGATAAAGCGCCGCCCATTGTTCGATCTTCTGCCCAATTGCCGAATTACCCAAGGATCGAAAAGAATACCGGTCACCAGACTTCATCATCATCATCATTTATTATCCCTGAAGGCCCTTACGGGCATTACACAAGGGAGTGGTATTTGTTACTATTTCTCTTAATCAAACACTTCCGCACGCAATTTTAACACAATAGAAGGGGGAACTAGTCGGATAAAGCAGAGATGAAAGTGGTTACGGAGGCGGCAAATGTATCTGTGTCAGTTATGGTAACAATGTCATTTGGTAGTATGTTCCAATCGTTTATTGCCATAGGTAAAGTTGAATTACTGTATGAAGTAGTCGACGAAAAAATGGGCCGCAACTTGCAGGAGTGGTCAAAGCGGGGGAAAATCTGCCACGGGGGTAAAAACGGAGATTCACGAAGAGGCATGTTATGGTGAAAGATTCGGTGAAGGAGAGAGAGATGAGACACTCGGCGCCTCAATAAAAGCGTGTGAAGGTTAGCTGCTTCGCGCAATCCAGATATGCTCGTGAATGGTGAGTAATCAGAAAAAATAAAACGAAGAGCCATGTTTTGGATGGATTCAAGTTTGTTAGATAGATAAGATTGCCAAGGGCACCACACAGAAGAAGCGAATTCAAGTTTAGACCGAACCAAAGTTGAGTATGCTAGTTGTTTTATCTCTGGTGTTGCGGGTTTCAGGTTTCGGCGCAAAAAACCGAGGGTACGGTTTGCGCTAGCTACTATATTACTGATGTGAGATGTCCATGAAAGGTCAGATGTTAAATGAACACCGATATATTCATATGAACTGCAAACGGTGAGGGGGGACGCGTCAAAATGGTAAGAAAAAGGTTGAAGAGCACGATGAGAGAAGGAAAGGGATTTACATTTGTCGAAATTGAGAGTCATCTGCCATTTATTGCACCATTGAATAACTCGTGAAATATCTGTTTGCAAGGTATGGTGATCGTCGAGCGAGAGAATGGGCCTGTAAATTACGCAGTCGTCTGCAAATAACCGAACTGATGAGGAGATGTGCTCATGAATATCATTGATGTAGATTAAAAAGGGTAAGGGCCCGAGTACACTACCCTGAGGGACGCCTGAGGTTACCGGGCACGAGGGGGATTTAGAGTTATTAATAGTGGTGTACTGGGTGCGGTTAGTCAAGAATTCGGATATCCAATTTACGATAGCGGGATAGATCTTAAATTCGTTAAGTTTTATTTTAAGACGTTGATGAGGGACCCTATCAAACGCTTTAGAAAAGTCGAGAAAAATGGCGTCAGTCTGAATATTGGTATTAAAACCTGCGTGAATGTCATGAAGAAACGCCGTTAGTTGGGTTTCGCAAGAGTACGCTTTCCGAAAACCATGTTGGTGATTAAAAAGGAGGTTGTTATCTTTTAAATGATTGATTATATTGGAGTAAAGTAAGTGTTCCATGAGTCTAGATGATACGTTAGTTAGGGAGATGGGCCGATAGTTTGTAATTAGGTGGCGGTCACCAGATTTGAACACAGGGGTTATGTTTCCAGTTTTCCAAATCTTCGGAATTTCGGAAAGTTTAATTGACTGGGAAAATATGTCACAAAGAAAAGCTGCGGAAGTGTGTTTCGTGTTTATTAGAACCTTCGAATTCATGTGGTCATCCCCTGAGCTGGAAGACAGCTTCAAGTTCTCAATTGCTTTCAGGACGCCGGCACAGTCAAAAGTGATGGGCCCCATAGGAGTGTGCAATGACTGGCGTGGGACAGGAATATTACGCAGGTTTTCTTCTGTAAAGACAGAACTAAATAAGTTATTAAGTGAAAGAGCACTTTGGTAATCGGAAAGATTATGCCCGCTGCTGTCAGTGAATTGCACTTGTACGCGTTACTGAAAAAAGTAACCGATTACAATTACAATTACTTCACTGTAAAAAGTAACCAGTTACAGTTACAACTACAAGCTCAAAAAAGGAATCGAAAAATGACTCTGAAGTAATCGATTACTTCCTACGTTACATTTCATGTAACGTTTTTATTACGGTAGGATTATTTTTGGGGTCTCGGGCTCAGTTTTTCCGAAAAAAAGAAAGAAAAGAAAGGAAAGAACGCCATGACTCTTTTTCCTTAGAGCTGATTGAGTAACGCAAACACATCCACCATTCTTGAGAAAAAACAAGATAAAATAAAAAAAGCGCTGTTTAAATACATTACTCACAAGAGATTGGAGAAGGTCTTTTTTATACCCGAACGTAATCTCCGGTGTACAAAAAAAAAAGTACCCAAGAAACAAAGCATACTAAAGTAGTCTATTAATGCTCAAGATCCCGCGCTGAATGGTTTAAAAATATATTGACTGTTTACCAGAGCTGAGTAACTCCAGCACATCTAACCCTCCTCCCCCCCCCCCATAAAAAACGAAATTGAGAAAAGTGGTAATCGGTAATTTTGTAGTCGATTACAGCAAAAAAGTAATTCAATAACAAGAATCGTTACTGCTTAAAGGAAGTAAATAAAGGATTACAAAATTACAGTAAAATGTAATCGATTACAAGTAATCCATTACTTGTAACGCGTTCCGTACCAGTCTGCCGGTAACGTAGGCACACGCACTGCACGGGCTGGCGTCTGGAGCAGTAAGAGTTAGAAAGCAAAATTTTGAAACAAATGGCACTTTGCAAGTGCGTTTCTCAATGCCCTATTTTTCTTATCTACTTCGTATATTTTATACAAGGCAGGTGAGCGCATGCAGCACCTGTACTTACGTCCCCAACATTCTCTTTGGTGCTTCGGTAGTTTAACAAAGAATGAGTCTGCCACGCCTGAGTAGTCTGATGATGTATCTATGATGTGTGTTCAATACGGCGTCATTTGCATAAAAAACTAATGAGAAGCTGTGCTGCGGAAAGGAGGACAGCAAAACAAATATACGATTAATTTTGTTTTGTGATCTTGACTTGTTATCGCAAACACAATATTACGCAAATTAAGGGGTCATACAGGCGCTCAGAAATAGAACCAAAGTACACTGCTCGTGTGTGGCACGCAGTGACTCCGTGACGGTATAGCACGCATCGTACTCGAATGATTGAGTTCAAGAGGACAAAGACAGTGAAGGGCTGTCTAATAATGTTTAAAATAAAAACAGAGATAAAAGAAAGCGGGCAACAAACTTCTCTTAAAAGACGAACAAAAATTATCCAGGCAGTGTCTGGGGCTTTAGGCTGCTCTGGGCGATTGGCGTCCTGGCGACAGTGGCTGTCGCGGCCTCGGCTCTTGGCGCCTACAGATTTTGCCACCGCGGTGCAAACACGCCGAAAGCCATCGAATTTTTGTTTTAGAGCGCAGTTCTTAGGCGCCTGTTTCCGGCTTGAGCGGCGTCGGCGTAACCAAGGTCACCCCAAGGTCACGTGACCCCCCTCCCCCAAGGTCACCCCAAGGTCACGTGACCTTGCTTATTATGATCTGTCTTCCAAAGTTCTATTTTTGATGCTAAGTCTAGCTTAACAATACAATACCTCGGACAAAGACAACAAAAACAACGACGTCAAAACTGCTTTGACAAATGTGTTAAAAAAATATCGCTGCTATGAGAGCGGGCCGGACGAGAATTGTTCCAATCTAAAACTTTCTCAGGTCTCGGATAGAAGCAGTAACTGTGAGTAGCATCTCTCTCGTTGGATCTGCAAATAGGCGTATATAAATAGTGCATATAAGGCATCGTACATTTGCGTTCTAGAAAAACCTCAAGAACATGGCCATCTCGATGAAGAATCGATTTCGCAACATCTTCGTGCCCTTGGCGCTCATTTTTGGTAAGTACTCGAGGAGCGCTTTTGATATATTTTGATGCTTATTCTAGGTTTCGAATAGTAAATGTTCCGTCACAATCTAAGTGGGCTCATCCGAGTACTGTAATGATTTCATGGGAACTAGACTTGTGCCCGTTACTTAAAAATAGGATGGATTAAATAACAAAATACCGAGCCTCGAATATAATGGATTACCGTTATATTACTGTTAATGGATTACCATCAGTCTCTTGTAGATAAATTTAATTCCCACTTTCTAGAATCCGGTTCTTCTACTATGCCCTCAGCGAGAACGCCTACATGTTAGTCTTATGCCTTTTACATAACTCACTATTTCTAGCACCTACCATTGAACTAGAAATAACTACTATCATTAAATCCTTAGGGAATAGCGGTGCCTGTGGAGAAGATGGGCTATGTTCTAAGCCAATCAAAGCAGTTTCCTCTTTCATATCTACTCCGCTTTCGCATATCTGCAACCTTATTTTAAGTACCGCTATCTTTCCAGAAAAAAAAAATTAAAATAGCGAAGGTTTGTGTGATCCATAAAGGTGGTCCCCAGAATAATATGAATAACTATAGACCAATATCAGTACTTCCGGTCTTTTCTGAAGTAGTGGAACGCGTTATTTACAAACGTTTAAGTGATTTCTGTAATAAACAATATTATTACAAACAACCAGTATAGTTTCCAAAAAGGTAAATCAACTGAAATGGCACTGCTAAATAAAGCTTAGCCCGGGCTTTGCTCAACTGCCAAGACCCCAGTTTCATCAGACACGGACACACTTAGCACAGCCAGGCATACAGGGGGTCTGAACCCACGCCGGGCTCTGGGCTCATGGTGATTGGTAATGCCACTCACCAAACACCCGTAAGCGCACAAGTCTCCTGTGGCGACGCAACCGTGGAATAAGGCATTCAGTACATGAAGTAGATACTGATTTTGCCAAGCGAGAGATACACTTTAACTGAAAAAAATGAAGGCACAGCTCAGACACATGATGGATGCCCAAGTGCTCTCACGTCGAATGTACTTTACATGCTCCAAGTGAACTAATAGTCATCATAGATAAGCTCACAGCTTTCTAAGCCGAAATACCTTATAATGTCTTTTCCCTTGTATTTCTAATTAAGCGTGACACCTCTTTTTCAGCTACCAATAGAATGTGCATACGTGAAACCTATAACTTCATGCTAAGCCTGGGTGACTCCTGCTCCGGAGCGTGCTGGCTTGCTCAAAATGACATCACGCGAACGGCACAAGAGACGTGATCTCGCCGGATCTTGTAGAATGACGAAAGCTCAGGACGAACATAATTTCTAGTGTTTATGCACTTATCTAAGTTACTAATATCATTTACGACTGCCTGCCCGTGAATATCGGATTCGAAAGTGACCCCCCCATCGTCACCTACGGAAAATTGGTCAATCCGCAGCGGTTTGGGGTCGTCACTTTGCCCAAGGGTTAGTCATTCGCCCTTTAGGGTGGTCAAAGACCACTCCAAAGGACAAATGACAAACCTTTGGGCAAAATGGCGAATGAAAACGTCATTTTGACTACCCAGGGTAGTCATTTTGTTTAGAGTGTGATAAGAAAACACGCGTAATGAACGCACAACACAATCCGTGTTCCCCGGATTCACCAGAGTGATGAATACAAGTTTAAAATTTTCCTGATATTTTGAAAAAAATTGCCTTGCCGGTGGAACTTTCTGATAACATTTCCATTTCCCGATCGCTACCCGGGAAGGGGACGGCGCTCCAGCGGATCTGGTGTCTAATTTTTTAAAGTAGTAACTGGCAACAGGCAAAGTTTTGGGCTGCCGGGACGACTTGTTTTCTTCCTAACTAACAAAAGTTTACACCAATACTAGTGACCCAAGAAGTGGATGTGAAAAGGCAGCCCATAATATGACATGTGCTTTAGATTACTTTCCGATCATACACCTCTGCATGAATTCTCTACAAATAAGAAGAATAGCCCCTATTTATTTGATCATACAAAATGTGAGTCATGAGACCCGTGTTTTGTCCGGGTGGGGAGTTTGGACAAATAACGAATACCCGTGGTTGAAAAAACCCCGAGACTGCGGGTAAACGACACAACACTAAAAATAGAGACTTTTTAGTATTGTGTCGTTTACCCGCAGTCTCGGGGTTTTTTCAAGCATGTGCAATGTACACCAGCTCGTTTGCGCCCTTACATTTTGTTCAGCAACGAATACTCGATGGGAGTACAGCGGGACGGGTGCGTTGTGCTTGCACATTTATGAGCCGGAATTTTCGTTGGAGAGGTTAATTTAGTAAGCTATAGTCGATTTAAACACTTACAACACACCACAATATTGTGCCCGTATCCAAGAGAAGCGCAACCATTATTGAGGGTTATTTTATTGTTTTTGCATCTCTCCGTATGATATATATGTAAGCACAGCTTTTTTCCATGTACAAGTGTGTACATTTTAAATGCACTCGTGAGAAATGCGCAGTTATATTTTAATATCTTTATCTATAACAATCAATATGTGCGCGGGAGTTTTGTTCATAAAGAAGATCACGGACAATAAAGACAAACGTTCTTTTACAGCAGTTGCAGTGATAAAGCAAGTGTTTGCCGGCAGTTGTACCATAAGCCAACACAAATTCAAAAATGGCACTGTAAGTATTGCGAAACTCAGGGATAATTTATAAAAATTTAGAATGGAACTCGCTAAGTTTAATATGGGTATTTAGAATGCGTTATTTATAATTATGGTTGTTTAAGTAATTCTCAGTTTCACTTAATATTCAATGTAGCTAATTTGCAAAATATCCACACGAAGACTATGAATAAGTAAGGCTTGCATCCGTAACGAACTGGCTTTCTCATTTTTCTTGTTACATTTTGCTAAGTATTAAATGCATATGCTATTACTCACCGTCTGTAGCAAGACACAAAATTTGTTTTTAGATAGACAAGGTCCCTATAAGAAATGTTGGTGTCGTTCAAATATGGTGAAATGTAAACTTCTCGATTCAGTTTGAAATCACTTCTGTACTCCTTGAATTTGCATTACATATCATTCGAGACAGATATACATAAATATGATATTTTTTTTCATAATCAAGCCTGCCGCTGACCAGCACTCTTTCCACTTGTTTCAGATACTAGTAAATACCGAATGCAAAGTAAGCTGCTACGAAACAACCTTTTTTGCGGGTTCAAATGCAATGTGCATTGTAAGTCAGCTGAAACCTCATTATACAGCGTCAAATACGTCCTCTTTTTTTTTTTTTTGAATGCTATAGAATCCTATTACTTAAGTTTGGATTTTCTTGATGACATTGTGTATATGCTTAGTATGAAGGTTAAAAAAAACAAATAAATTCCGTTATTAAACTGGTCGTTCAAAGAGATGGAAAAGAGTTCTAAAATTTAGCTCTTCGCTATAGAAAGGCTCTTATTCAGAATTCACTGTCCTTCCTCTCATACTGCTCGCTTTCTTTACCTGTTCTATTATAAAAGGCATATCAGAACGAATAGTGCAACAGCTTGCTGTTTAAACCAGTCAAGTGTAAATTTATTTCTTGCTTCAAATAGTAAACTAAACGTTTTCATATTATTTTTCTTCAATTGTGCCAGTCCTGACAATTTTATCGTTATAACCTATAACCTATATATGGCCTTCTTTATATTTTTAACTGCAGTTCTAATATTCTCACAATGGGCACCTGCATGCGAAAATCAGAGTAGTAGCTCGTCTAATTTGGTTTATAGCAGTTACCTGAGCCTACTAAACCGCACGATAAATGTTTCTTTATATATATAAAATTTCTTGTATTTCGTTAGCCACATTCTAATTCACAATTATCAAAGTTACGTCTGAACATTTCAGGAAGCACAGGCAGCGAAAAAACTATGATCATTTGGATATTGGTGGGAACGCATTGATCTTTTACATGAACTTTTGGACTAAGTAGCACTGAAAAATGACAGGAAAATACAGAAACGTGTCAAACGCGAGATAGAAGGATCACAAGCGAATACCGCATAGCATCTGAGACAATGCATGCAACGTATATTGGCGCATCAAGAATTTGTACAACACTCAACACCATCAACTGCAACTCCATTCCTTGGAGGTATTTTCTGCAGTTCAATTTAAGCGAGTCATGTCTTGTTTCAGACATAATCTTAAAGAAAGGAGAAAATACATTTTGTTATATAAAAGAGAAACAAAAAAAAAAAGCCCAAACCTAGAGGAAAAGAGAAACACTAAGGCTGCTGATTCAATACCACATGGGATACAAGGCCTACACCTTCCCCTATCTCATGCCTGCATTATGTGCATAATGGATTTGCCACCGACCTTGCGACACCATCGCCCAAAGCGCGCATTTCAGCGTCTTTCAAAGAGCGCTACGTCAGCACGTTGCGATGCTCAAACGGACACGTCTGCCACCTTTCAAAAGTTCTCCTCAAGCTTGTGCGTATTTGCCGCTTGTGGCAGGTCGGGTATCCTAATGACATCCTGCGCAGGCCTTGCCTTCTAGGTGGTATATGCAAAATACAAGCGCACGGCGACACAAAGATGCCTATGTCAGCCGCCTTGTGGCGTACTGTCGTCGGGTTTGAACCTATTTGCAGCATTGGGGTGTCGGGGTCTGCTTACGACGACCTATTGAGTAGCCCCTGTCTTCTTTGTGCTATTGCCTGAGGCATTCCTTCCCCTTAAATTGCCCCAAGAGCGTATCAATACACGTGCGTAGTTATAGATACCTACGCTGCCAAAAAACAGTGTTTCGAAATTAAAAAAAATGAAAGCCGTTTACAACTCCCTGTAAGGCAGAATTAGAGCTCAGCTCTTGAGGATGAAGAGGGAAGGGTATTGAGGGGAGGGTATACCGCCCCTCCCTCCTCCTCACCACCACGACCTGCCTGCTACTCCCCGTCCGAGCGGCGTCGCCGTCGCCGTCGGCGTAGCCGTAAGGTCACGTGACCTCACGGGGGTCATGTGACATCACCGGGGTCACGTGACGTCACCGGGTCACGTGACCTCACGGGGTCACTTGAAGCCACCGGGGTCACGTGACCTCAGGGTTACGCCGACGGCGACGGCGACGCCCGCCGCTCAAGCCGGAAACGCGCGCCCAAGAGCTGCGCTCTAAAAAAAAAAAGCGACATTAAGCGTTTCGGGTTGGAAAGTTTGTTTGATTCTTGCAGCTTGCTGGAGTTTTATCACAGGTCGTAGCAAATAATTCTCTGGATAAACTGTGGATAAACAGACGACCTCATATTTTAGAGCGCAGCTCTTAGGGGCCCGTTCCCGGCTTGAGCGGCGTCGCCGTCGCCGTCGCCGTCGGCGTAACCAAGGTCATCCCAAGGTCACGTGACCCCTCCCAAGGTCATCTCAAGGTCACGTGACCCCACGTGACTCCCAAGGTCACGTGACCCCTCGAGGTCACGTGACCCCTCCCAAGGTCATCATCAAGGTCACGTGACCCCAAGACCCCACGTGACCCTTTGAAGGTCACGTGACCCCCAAGTCACGTGACCCCTCTGAGGTCACGTGACCCCCGAGGTCACGTGGTCTCGTCCCCAAGGTCACGTGACCCCTCCCAAGGTCATCTCAAGGTCACGTGACCCCAAGGTGACCCCCACGTGACCCCCAGGTCACGTGACCCCTCTGAGGTCACGTGACCCCTCTGAGGTCACGTGACCCCCCGAGGTCACGTGACCCCCCTCCCCGAAGTCACGTGACCCCCCCCCCCCCCCCCCCCGAGGTCACGTGACCGCCCCCCCGGAGCATATTAAAGAATGAGGGGAGGAGGAGGGGTCTACCCTCCCCTCAGTACCCTTCACTCCTCCTCCTCAAGAGCTGCGCTCCAATTTGGCGTTACAGGGATTTGTAAACGGCTTTCACTTTTTCTTCAATGGAACTGTAGAGGCCTCCTTCCGAATTATGACGATGTGAGCCAGCTGCTGGACGATCATGCCCCCATTGCATTTTGCTTGCAGGAAACACATCTAAAAGCCAACCACATTAATATATTAAAGTACTTTCAGGTATTTCGCAAGGACCGGATACAAGCACTTCATTCATCTGGAGGTGTTGCAGTTGTAGTGCAACGCTCAACTCCATGTAGCGAAGTGACTCTGCAGACTCCGCTGGAGGCTGTGGCAGCCCGCATTTTGTTAGATCGTATAATTACAGTTTGTTCTTTATATATACCCCCCAGTTATCAGCTAAAGATTGAAGAGCTTGAAGACCTTGTTAGTCAGCTTCCACCACCTTTTTTTATAGCTACCACTCATCCTGCATGAGAGTCACCACCAAAATCAAGTGATTTAGATTTTTTACGCCTATAAAGATCAAACCCTTTTGTATATTTATTATCTATTTGACCTATATTGCAGCTCTCGACTAAGAGTCAATGCAGGTGTGGTAAAAAAATTTAAATACCCATAAACCAACAACAAAGAAAGCGCTGTTAAAATACGATGTGGTTGAGTGCTTTAGCGAGACCAATGAGTTAACAAAAGTAACGATAAAATTTTATAAAATATATGCCAAACATTCTTAAGACCACGTGGGACCAACAAGCTGAAAGGAAGAACCTTTTCTTCAATTCTTCCTTTCCATTCGAGAAAGACCCTAATACTTTCTTTTGGGGAGTAAGTAGCTCAGAGCACCACCTCTTAGAGAAGAAAGGTATAGTGCTTAATTTTTCTGCCTCACTAAAAGAGGCCTCCATAAGGCACAGATTGGGCACGACTGCTACGTCAGCGATCGGCCACAACTTGTAACCGATCAGTGAGAACCCGAGTCCCAGCGGAACGCTGATGCCGCTGTCATATCCAATTTAAGCCCTACGATCGCCTGTTTTAGTGACGCTGAACAATTCAACGCTTTGGATTTCTTATTTAGGAGGTGTTTCCATAAAAAAAAAAAAAAACGCTCCTGTGAACAAAGGAGGAGAAAAGAGGGCGAAAGGGAAGGGAAGGAAACTGTCCAGCAGAAGATGACTTTGTAGGGCGGCCTTTATAAGATTCCGTGTAATGAATTCTTGATGATCCCATGGCGACAAAGCGACACATTTGTTACAACAAATATTAAAATTTGAAGACAAATAAATGCATGTTTATCTTTCTGTATCAATTGATGACCCAACTTATAGCATTTGAGTATTGATCCGTGAAAACCAGTGCTATCCCGAGGTGGAACTACTGATGGCCTTAAATGCAAATGTTGCAGCCCGTTTCTAGACGCCTTCCTCTAAGCTTAAAGGGATACTGAACCAAGGAATTTAGTGTCCATAATAAGTGGCGCACGTTCTTTCCACGAGCCAGCAGCCGCTGGTGTGCGCGAGCACACGCAACGAAAATGACGTCAAAGACCTCCATTCGCGTTTAAAGGGGTATCCACACGAAGGAGAACTCCGCGGACGGATGTCGTGACGTCAACATCCCGGGAAACTCCGTCCCCGGCTCCGCCGCGTGCACCTGCGGAGCTTTCGTGCTGTCAGCACAAAACCTCCGCGCCTCCGCCACGGAGGAGAACGCGCCGCGAGGTGTCCAAAAGGGATGACGTATGTCTCACGTGATGCGCGATCCGCGGAGGAACGTGGCGGATTTCTCCTTCGTGTGGATCCCCCTTTATAGCCGATTCACACGACGGACTGATCCGCGGACGGATTGGTCACGTGACGACATATCCGCGGTTCGTCCTTCTCCCAAGCGCATCCACACGAGGGAGACGACGAGCAGACGCCAGTGAGGACGGACCGAACCTGTTCGCACCCCACAGTGCCGCGAAACTCCAACATCACACAGTAGCACCGTACGTAATTGTCCAAGAGAGAAATCGACGGTTGCTACCGCGATAAAGAATCGTACGCCGCTGCTACCGACAGATTGAGAACAAAACACCGGGACAGGCTTCGCGCGAAGCGCCACTAACTTTACTAACCCAAAGCATGACAGTGACACAGGCATGATCCTGCCCGAGAAAGCTTCGGCGTAGACGCGACGAACTTCTGGGCTCGCTGAGGGGCGTTTGGAGATGCCTTCACACACTCCGCGCTCGTGCACAACACTCAAGCACACCACATCCACAAGAGAGGGCTTGCTCGGTGAAATCCTGATTGGACGTGCAAGAATTATCGCGGCGTGCTAGACTAGTTTTGACGGGAGCTTCTTTACACGGACCCGGAGGAGCACCGGAACCTGCGTCGCGTCAGCCGGACAAAGTTTCTGGAGTTTCTCTCACGCGTGGAACCAAGAATCGTACGACAAAATGAACCAACAAACGCACAAAACGCAACGACGTGCCATTTTTGTTTTGAACGCACAGAAGCAAAATACCAAGAAAACCGTGTACCGTTGCCAGACTAAATGCTTTCCAAGTCAGTCTGCCGCCAAACGTCCGCGAGTGAAAAAGGCGCTCGACTTTATCAGTCCGCGCCTCAGCGAAGAAGGCGCGGATCGCAGGAATCGGTGACGTGCCGGTCACGTGGTACACGGTCCGCGGACGAAAATCACGATTTGGTCCGTCGTGTGAATCGGCTATTAAGAGGACAGTGAAATGTATGGGCTTTGAGCCAAAGGAGAATAAAGACAGACTTTTCATCTCTACAAGTGAAAGCTACGTGCTTGTTAGGCCAATTAATCGCTTGTAGATGTCTGTGTAGATGAAAAACTTGTCTTTATTCTCTTTTGGCCCGAGGCCCATACATTTCACTGTCATCTTAAGCGCGAATGGAGGTCTTTGACGTCATTTTTGTTGCGTGTGCTCGCGCACACCGGCGGCTGCTGGCTCGTGGAAAGAACGTGCGCCACTTATTACGGACGCTAAATTCCTTGGTTCAGTATCCCTTTAATTCATCTGCGGTGTGTGAAAAAATATGTAAACATTGCTTAAACTAAGACGCGTAAAAAACGTTTTCAGTAACTGAGATTTATCCTAAATGTGCCATCTTATTCGAGTTGTAGAAAAAATAAATGTTAATTTTTTAACATTGTAGTATACTTAATAAACAGAAATTACAGCGGAAAGTTTTATTTTGTATATAAAGACAAAGGCACGCCATAATATATTATTTAATTTTCATGCATATGTTTTTTTAATGTTTTTCAGTTGAAGCATAAAGGTTATGGGTATCTGTTTACTATCGTAACTGGAATGTGTAGTAATGGGGTGTGCGAAGAAACGGACGATGGAGAAATATACAAACGAGAACTTGAAGAGCCTTTGTGGGACGTCTACAACCGTAAGTGATTTTTGAATAGGTCGGTTAAGTGCAACTGGTAATATTATAAATTACTGCGTTTAGCTATCTTTTTTTACATTAGGTGGAATAAATCGCTTTCTGAAAGTAATTTCTGATTTCTGATGTGCCTAAGAAATTATAAGGTTTCAAACTAAAACGTTTCTCACAATTTTAATTTAATATATGCACTCTCTAAAATACAAAGAATGTTGCTACAAAACGAATAGATATATTAATTACTTCATGAAAGCAAGCACGTTTAAATAGTACAACTGTTTATTTTCTTTTACCCACAAATGTTATTCGTGATAGGATACCAGATTCAGCTTTTTCAATTTTACAATGTTCGACAGCGAATTAATTACGTGTACGATTATAGTTTGGCAATCGCCTGTTTTGCCTTACCAAGAAGGATCTTTTCTTTTTTGTTACGTAGACTATATTTACTCTTTTCATGTCAAGGTTTCAGGTCGGGTTTTACACACGTTTTAAAAACGAAAAAAAGTTCCTTCACAAAAGCGACTTTACGGTTTCAAGTAAAAACAGATTCGGAGGGCGTAGAGGCGTGAAGTTATGATAAGTATGCAGTACATTATGTAATCAAAAATTTATTGTGGCTTAAAGATCACGTATATGGGAAAAAAAGAAAGATCAATAAACGTCTGCTAGTTTCAACTTTCCTTGACTGCCGAAAACTATATATTTTTTGTGTTCTTCGTTTCTTGGTTTCCTGGGGCGTTACAAGTTGCTCCGAGTATGAAGGATGAGAATTTGAGTCCTGATATGCGGGTTTGATTCGGTCCATGGCGACGATTTCTCGGTGTCCGTGAATGTCAAGAGTCATGTTCTTGTCGGTGCGCTCGAGTATCTTAAAGGGTCCCTCGTAAGGTGGCGTGAGACTTTTCTTCTTGACTTCCTTTCGGACGAATGCGTGGGTGGCAGTTTTCAATTCTTGACTTACGAAGATCTTCTGAGAATGGGGCATCCGAGGTTGTGTGGGCTTGAGTTCTTGCATGAAGTGCCTCAAGTCGTCTAGGTACATTTGGTGTGGAATTGTTGGAGTGCACTTGGTAATATCGAAAAATTCTCCAGGGAGTCTGAGTGGCGATCCATAAACCAATTCATCCGAGGTGCATTCCAGGTCTTGTTTGAAGGCGGATCGAATGCCGAGAAGGACGAATGGGAGATGGTCGACCCAGTTGAGACGTCCATCTCGTGCTGTGATTGCGGCCTTGAGCTGTCGGTGTAACCTCTCCACCATTCTATTGGCTGACGGGTGGTATGAGGTAGTGTGCACGTGGTGCATGCCGAGGAGCTGGGCTAAGGCAGCAAACAGCGAGCATTCAAATTGGCGTCCCCGGTCCGTAGTGACGGTGGATGGACATCCGAAGCGGGATATCCAGATGTCGATAAAGTTCTTGGCGACTGTCTCGGCAGTGATGTCGACCAGGGAAGTGGCTTCGGGCCACCTGGTGTAGCGGTCGACGCAAGTCAAGATGTACGTGTAGCCTCGGCATGATGGCAGGGGGCCCAAAAGATCGAGATGAACATGGTCGAACCGTGCCGAGGGGGCACGGAATGGCCTCAAAGGTATGACAGTGTGTCGGCTCACCTTAGAGCGCTGACATTGAAGGCAGCTCCTGGCCCAACCTCGCACATCCACGTTCATTGTAGGCCACACATAGCGAGCTGTCACCAGTCGCTGCGTGGCTCGGATGCCCGGGTGGCTGATGTTGTGGATGTGGTCGAAGACCTGCCGACGAAGTGCCAATGGGACGAAAGGTCGAGGATGCCCCATGCTCATGTCGCAGAGGATGGCACCGGTGCAGTGAGGGAGGGGAATCCGCTTCAACATTAAAGACTTCAGCGTCTCAGGGTGGTTGTTCAATTCAGGGTCGTCTTGTTGCGCGGCAGCGATGCGTTCGAAGTCTACTCCTCCAGAGACTGCTGAAAGTGCTTCGACGCGGGAAACAGCGTCCGCTGCAGAGTTGTCTTCTCCTTCGATGTGACGGAGATCTACCGTGAACTCTGAGATGTAGGCGAGTTGTCAGATTTCTCGGGAGCAGTAGGCGGTGTGATTTCCATGAAACGCGTAAGTCAAGGGCTTATGGTTCGTTAGGACGTGGAACTCGTGACCTTCCAGGATATACATAAAGTGCCGAAGGGCAAGGTAGATGGCAAGGAGTTCTCGTCCGAACGTACTATATCGCGTTTCCGCAGGTTTCAGTTTCTGAGAAAAGAAACCTAGTGTCCTCCACTGGCCGTCAAGAAGCTGCTGTAGTACAGCACCTACAGCTGTACTGGACGCGTCGGTCATGAGACGGGTACACACTTAAAATGTTTACACCCTTATTCGTGTAAATGGCTCGTCCTCTGGCTAACGCCTTTATTCGTGTAAGGGTGTTAGCCGCTGGAGGTGGTAAAAATCGTGTTAACTGCTAACACCCTAAAAACAATATGGCGGTCAGTATGCGACAGGCGATACGAGCCTGGCGAGCCGTACGCGGCTTCTCGCCGGAGCAAGAGCATACGGCTCGCACGCTCGTTTGGTGTCATCTGTAGGCGCAAAAAACTTTCCAAACATCTCTATGTCCAAGCGCCAACACCGCAAATAATACGAGTAAGGCCGAAACCGCTGGAGACTGAACAGCCGAGACTGTCGCTGAAGTCTCGCTCGGCCTGCTCAATGCCGGTCGCATTTTCATCGCACCAGAAGCGCTTATAAAGAAGGGATAGCTTTACAAAACACTGACAGGCTGGCTTTATTGAACAAAACGCCCACTTGCCGTGGACGACAAGTTGACAACGAATCGCTCCGACACCCTCTGTCGACAGCGGCTAGGAGGTATCGCACTCGCGCTCCGTGTGGCTCTCGATTAACTATTGCCTGTGCTCACCTCTGTTACGTGCGTTATCCACTCATGAACGTTTGTGCGTGAACAGCGGCATTCAGCACCTAGAACAAGCGCTGGGGAAGCCACCTAACCTCCTTTTGTTGCAATCAGGAAGCATAACGGCGACACAGCTACCAGCGGAACCGAACAACTCGGAGCGATCAACACGACGGATGGATAATGGCATCCAGCCCTCTAATAGTTATAGATCACCAACCGCCACACTTTTCAAATTGGGCGGCGACAACCCCCATCTAGCGACGAAAAAAAAAGTGATAAACATTTGAAAAAAGAAAACAGCGGTATTTTCGCTACCCACCGCGCTCCTACATTTACTCACGACATGGGCATACACACAACACTGTACATACACACGGGGACACAAGCACTGATCAATTGCACAACACTCACCAAATAGTACATACATCCTACTTATACAAACCAACAAGTGCCCCGAGCGGTATATATGCCCTCCTATTTCGCGCATCGGTTAGCCCAGTGACCACGCTAATCTTAATCAAGATATGAAAAGATTACGCCAATTTTATTTTTCAATAATATTTTTTCTGTATTTGTCTTAGGTAGGTACACATATCCGTTAATAACTTCTTACAGCATAATGTATTATAATGATACGCGCCTAACTTCTAGTAACTCAACGTGAGTGACGAGAAAAAAAAAATCGTGTGAATTCTGTCTGGCAACCACACTCGCGGCGTGGTTGCTATGGCGACGCTGTCGGTACGCGCGCCGGCAGCCGTCCAGCTGGTTCAGCTGTTCGGCTACGGCCGAGTGCGCGAGTCCACGGTGAACGCCGCGAGCGCAATCGAGAAAACAATGCGTCGACTACTGAAGCTGCACGTAATCGAGTTTCCGCCCGTTCGCTGCCGAATTCTTCGTAGTCTTCTTCCGCCCGTTCGAAAGGGAACAGCCTACCAGTTCGATTACCGCCGTGGCTTCAGTGGCTTCATCTTCGGAGGGAACTGTCAACTGAATTAGTTCCAAAACGCGGGTGCATCAGGCAGCGCAACGTGGCGCGGTACACGCACAAAGTCGGTAAGTAAACAAAACACTCAATGCCGTTCCATTCTTTTTTTTTTTTTTTTAATTTACGGGGGCGCGCGGTGTTTCTGGGTGGCTCAAGGTATGGGAAAGCAACCGGAAAAATCGGCGCCTGATCGACCATGGGGTGAAAATTTCAAAGCGTATCTTATGCAAAAGACAGCGTTTGCCGGCGGAAGACTCGGTCGTCCGTAACGAACAGATTTTTAGCATTTTTAAGGATGTTCTAGCTGCAAAAGAAAGGAGCGCCTTAAAATTTCACAAGGTAAAATACACTGCTGAGGAAACGACGATCTTTGCGTGCAGGCGCCGATTTTTCCGGCAGAGTTTAGCGCGCTGTGAAATGCAGTGTGCACCTAGGGAGAGTTTTGGCATAATATAATGTTACTCATTGGAAATAAAAAAAGAAAAAAGAAATGCTGGCATCATATGCTTACACACTCTTAGTCATTTTTGGAATCTTAACTACCCTTTTTGTGGCAGGTATTGGACACCAGCACATTTTACGTAGGAACGAAAAGTGGAATCCGGCCAATTCCCTTCCACATTAACATCAAATGAGTGCTGTGAAAGCAAAGAAGAAAGTGAGGGTGAAACAGTTCCTGCAGTAGTAAGTGCCAGAAACAAGAAAAGTGCCCCGAAGTGGAAAATATACTCCCTTGAAAAGGATCCAAAAGAAATAGAGGTTATCAGGTATACCGCCGAGCGTCACAGACCTGGACACTCCATTTCAGTTTTTTAAATACCCATGCCCTGATGAGCTGTTTACAGCGATATTTGAGGGGACCATCCTGTATTGAACTCAATGCCACCATAAACACCATTTTCGGGTTCTGGTCACACCTCCACGCAGGATGTCCTGCTTCAGATCAAGGAGGATATCCTTGACAGAATCTCCTGTACGACAACGCGGGCGGTCCTGGCCCTGGATATAAAGGGCGCCTTTGACAACGTCAGTCACATGCTGGTGTTCGAGAACTTGGCCTCAACTGGGTGCGGGCCCCGGATGTATGATTATGTGCGGGACTTCCTGAGCAACTGGAT